TTATATTTAAAGTAAGATTTTTCATAGGTGATAGTATATAGTTGGGTCTTGCTTTTTATCAAACCTGATAGTCCCTGCCTTTGAATTGAGGATTTCAGGGAATTTACATTGAACATGATTATTGGATTTAATTCTACCCTCTTTCTATTTGTTTTCTGTTTGTTCCATATATTCTTTGTTCCCCTTTTTTCCTTTTTTTTTTTTTTTTGTCCTTTTTGAGACCGGCTGCACCGCACTCAGCCAGTGAGCACTGTGAGCGCACTGGCCATCCCTATATAGGATCCAAACCCGCGGCGGGAGCGCTGCTGCGCTCCCAGCGCCGCATTCTCCCGAGTGCGCCACGGGCTCGGCCTCCCTTTTTTCCTTTTTAATGACTTCTTTTGGTTAATTGTGTATCTTTTGTGATTCCCCTATACTCCTTTGTTGGCTTATTTGCTGTGACTCTTTCTTTTTTTGTGATTTCTGTAGGTTTATACTATACATCTTTAATTTTTCATAATCTAACTTCACGTACTATTATACCACTCCAAGTGGAGTATAAGAACTTTGGAAAACTCTATGTGGCATTTCACTCTCAAGACCTTTATACTATTGTAGTCATACATTTTATTTTTACATACATTATAAATCTTAAAATACATTGTTATAATTTTTGCACAATGATTTTTGTTTTAATTTTTAAAAAAGAATTTTAAAGTATCTTGTATTTACCAACATACTTACCCTTTCTGGCCATTTTCTTTCTTTGTGTTGATGCAGATTTCCACTGGCAATGGGCTGGCTGATTAGCTCAGTTGCTTAGAGCACAGCCTTATAACTCCAACCAGCATCAATTTCCTTCTGCCCGAAAGACTTCCTTTACTAATTCCTGCAGTGCATTTCCTGCTACCATCAATTTTTTCCAGCTTTTCCATATCTAAAAAATTCTATTTTTCACCTTCATTTTTGAAAGATATGTTTTCTGTGTATAAAACTTTAGATTGAGAGCGTTTATTTTCTTCCTTTAGTAACTGAAAGATGTTGTTCTACTCTCTTCTTGCCTAAATTATTTCCTATGAGAAGTTTGCCCCTATTCTTATCTTTGTTGCTCTATATGTAATGTGTCTTTTTGCTGGTTACTTTAAACGTTTTCTCTTTATCATTGCTTTAAAGCAATTTGATTATGGTGTGCCTTGGCTTAGATTTCTTTATGTTTCCAATTCCTAGGGTTCATTGAGTTTATTAGATCTGTGGGTATAATTTACAAAAAAAAAAAAAAAATCAACCATTATTTCTTTAATATTATTCCTGTCTTTCTCTCCCTTTTCTTCTGAGACTCTAATTACAAATATATTAAAACACTTGAAGTTAGCCCACTGCTCACTAATGCTCTCTTCATTCTTTTTTCATTTTTTCTGTTTTTTTTAAATAGTTTCCATTCCTATATTTTCAAGTTAACTAATCTTTTCTTCTGAAGTGTTTAACTTGCTGTTAATCCTCTGCAGAGAATCTTTCATCTCAGACATTGTAGTCTCCACATCTAGAAGTTCAATTTGTTTTCTTTCTTTTATCTTCTAGGTTTCTGAATGATGTGTTCAACCTTTACTGTATTTATTTTAGCATATGAAATACATTTATAATAACTGTCTTAATATTCTTTCTACTAACACAATCATTTGTGGGATTTCTGGGTCTGTTTATAGTTAAAGATTATATCCTCATTATGTAAGATATTTCCTGCTTCTTTATATGGCTGGTAATATTCATTGGATCCCAGACATTGTGGACCTTATCTTGTTGGTTGCTGCACATTTTTGTATTCCCATAATATTCTTGGGCATTGCTCTGTGATTCAGTTGAATTACTGAACCTTCTGATACTTTTCATAAAGCTCTGTAAGGCAGGATCAGAGCAGCCATTTGTGAAAGGCTGACTGTGTGCCAGTACTGAGGCAATACCATTCTGAATACTCTGTCAAATGCTCCATTAATTAGGAGATTTGCCACTCTAGATGGTGGAAACATAAACTATTCCTGGTCCTGTATAAACTCCCATGATTTTTCGCCTGCTCCTTAGGAATGTTTCTTCCCTGGCTTTGAGTAAGTTACTTACTTTCATGTATTGAGCAGCACTCAGCTGAAGATTTAAGGGGGACCCTTTGCTGACCTCCCAATATCTATCTTTCCTCTCTAGTACTCTATGCACTGTAGTTCCCTTGACCCCCTCAAATTCCCAGCTTCACCACCACAACTCATGGTGACTGCTTACCTCCATCAGCATCTCTCCTCCCTGTGCTCTGGAAGCTCTCTCCAAGCTGCGAAAATCATAGGGCTCACATTGTTTCTTTCCCATCTCCAAGGTCTTACTGTCTGGTGTGCATTGTTGCAGAGCCTGATGCTCAATGTCTGAAAACTATTGTTTCCCATAATTTCTCTGAGATTTCAGTTGTTTCGTGCAAGAAAAGAAGGTAAACCCAGTGTTTCTTATTCTATTTTGGGCAGAAAACAGGTGTTGCTGTGTTTGATTATAAGGGAAATGTGTACATGTTCACAGAGGGAGAAACACTGAGTGTAAAGTGGAAATGGAAAACTGAAGAGAGAGAAGGAAAAATTAATGAGTTAGTTTCTCACAGAAGGTTGTTCTGGTTCACAACTCCTAAGTTCCAACTTCCACAAAGTCCTAGGGCATGGGCACAATGCACCCACACTCTTTGCCAGTTCACAGCAAGCGTGATCTTTGCCCAAGTTTCCAAAACAAAACTCCTTCTTATTTCTATCTGAGACCTCCTCAGAATGGTCTTTACAGTCCATATTTCCATAAGCATTCTGGTCACCACCATTTAACCAATCTCTAAAACTTTCCTTGGTTTTCTTATTTTCTAAACTTTCACTAGCACCTAGGCTTTTTCTAGCCTGTGCCTCCAAATTCCTCCAGCCTCTCCTCAACACTCAGTTCCAAAGCTGGTTCCACGTTTTCAAGTATTTGTTACAAGCAACACCCCACTTCTATGGTACCAATTTTCTATATAAGTCTGTTTTGTGTTAATCTTTTTAGCATCATTGAATTTTTCTTCTGAAAATACTCTCTTCTTCTCTACCACTTGTCCAGGCTGTACAATTTCCAAATCTTTACATTCTGCTTACCTTTTAAATTCTGGCTTTATGTCGTGCCTTTGCCACCATATCTCAGCATAGGCTGTTGCAAGTAGCCAGGAAGCTTCCTTAATGCTTTGCTGCTTAGAAATTTCTTACACCAAACCTTCTGGTTCACAACTCTGATGAGGTCTCACACTGCAAGATGGTCGAAGCAGAGACAGCAGAGAGAAAAAGACAGACTCTCCTCTTCTTCTAAAGCTCTCAGAACCACACCGCTGACCACCATTTTTAATACATTCACTACTGCATGGTCCTACAATCCAATCACCTCTTCAAGGCCTCACCTTTCAATTACCGTAATAGGATTTTCTACCCTCTTAACAGTTACAGTGGGGGCTAAGTTTCTAATGCATAAAACTTGGGGGACACAATTCAAGCTTCAAGGAATTTGGGGGAGACATAATTTAATCTACTAGAAAAGTACAAAGGGGAAATAATAAAAAAAACTAAGGTAGAGCCCAACTTTGCGTATAAAGAGAAATACTTCTTATAAAACAGGAAAAAAGGAGGAAAGTAATAGCAACAAAACAGACAAATTTACACGCAGAGTTCATTTGGTCAGATGATATGACTTGAGCTCCTGTTATGTAATTTGAATAAAGCTCAGCTACTTCCTGCAATGAAGGAGGAGGATGGAGGGAGAGAATGAAGTGCGATTCCCAGCACAGCCTCCCCTCCACCAAAAAAAACCAAAACAATCCTCCTTCCAAATCCTCTCATTCCTGAGCTTTTCATATTCTTGATAGAAGTGAGGAGCTTACAGATTATCTAATGAGTTTTCAATTAGTCCACTTTAAAACCTCTGGTGGTTGGATTCACAGATCACATTGGTTTGGTGTCTGATATCTACCATTTTTTGGTGCCTCCACTGGTTTTTAATTTAATATACTGTTACACAACACTAGCTAAGGGATATGAGACAAGTGAAAGTACAATTTCAATTCAGTGAGGTAAATGTTCTGTGTAGTATAAGCACAGAAGGTTATGGAAATACGCTGGGTGGAAGGGGGCCCTACACAATCTTGAGTGAGCAGAGAAAGACTGCCAGAAAGAACTGTACTTATGATCCCCCAAAATTAAACAGGAAATAGTTTGGGAGTATGGGAACGGTAAGAAGAAAGGATGTGGAGGAAAGGGAGGAGAATGTAAAGGTTGGAACAGAGAGAGTTATTGGGAATAGAGGTGGATCAATAGGGCTGGTGGGGTGGGAGAGCTTATCAGAAGACACACCAAGAAATACCTTGACTGTATTCCAGGGTGTTTGGAACTGATCCTTTGGAAAGTAGGAAATCCTAGAGGGATTGTAAGTACAGGAGTGACTATGATTAATTCTTCATTTAGAAGTCATTCTGATGACAATGTAAAGAACACAGAGGAGGCAAAGAAGATTGTTAGCATATTCATTATGAGAAGAGATAATCTTCTGTGATAAGGTGAGAACAGCAGAAATGGAGAGGAGTGGCTATACCCAAGAGAATAAAATGGCAGAACTACCAGAACCTGGTAACTAATTAAATATGTGCCATGAGAAAGAGGTGCAAGGGAAACACCGAGGAGTTTGTCTTGGATAGCTGGATTGATGGCCATGTTTTCAATGAAACAGGTATTACTGGTTAGATGTTCCAAAACTTCTTGTAAAGTAAGAGAAAATAGAGATGGTTGGAACAGTCTTGTTTTCATTCATTGAACATATTTTTCACTTGTGCCAGCCACAAAGACTGGAAAAGTGAAAGAACCTATGGAATAGTAACAGAAAGAAATGGGGAGCTTAGAGGAAAAAGACAACTGGGAATCTTTAAGGCCCAGCCAAGGTTAGATAACATGAATTAGTAGTGGAACCAATACAATCAAAGAGTGCAGATGTAGATGGCTGGTAGAACCCAAGATGAAGAATATGGAGCAGTGCAGGTAAGTTTATAGTAAAGTACAAGATGGGAAACAATATGTGGGACTAATTAATACGAGCGCCACTAAAATGCCTTCCCATAAGCCAGGACAGATAGGGAAGCTGGAAAATCTAGAATGGGGCCAATGACAGAATAAGAAGGAGGCGAATGGCTGGAGGCCAACGCCTTGGGAATAAAGGAGAGGGAGATGAATAGGAGACAGTCATCGGAAAGAATGTCAACAATGTCAGCATTCATGGGAAAGGCAGAAGCAAAATTCCAAGTGGTAATATGGGTCCAGATGTGTTTCACCTCATTGGAGGTAGCAATTGGTTGTGAGACAAGATTGTTTGAAAGTTTAAAGATCAACACTGACATTCCAATAAATGGGGTCCAAAGGAAATCTATGAGCAAGGTTAGTCATGCTGGAGGTTGGCAAATCACAGAAACAGCATGCGGAAAGAGCAGAAAGGTGAAACTGTTAAGAGCTCATGGTCAATTTTGTGAAGGAAGAGACAGAGGGTTGAGGTGGGGATGGAAATGAATGCTTTTTCTTCCTTGGATTCCAGAAGGAAACTGGTATTATCAAGAGGAAACAGGTTTAGGTAGTAATAATGAGACGGGAAAACCATTCTAGGAAAGGGTTCATTTTCAATCAAATAATATGTTACAAATAGAAGAGGGCTCAATGACAATCATTTTCATTCTATTGATCATTGTAGAAACAGGTAGGAGAGGCAAAGCAGGAATGACTGCGGATCCACAATAGAGTGAAAAGGGTGCTGGAAAGGACACAGTGAAAATTTTCTCCTTGGTGGCAATTTTTAAAATAAACCCACTTGAGGCTCTTCCAAGACATTAGCCCTTCTGGAAACTCCAAGGTCATTTTAAGTTTATTCACTAGAATATTTTGGGCACACCATAGTTGCCGAGCATTTCCACAATTAATTCTTTGAAGTGGTCTTCCCTTTGAACATTCTTTAAGTGCTTATTGAGAAGTCTCAGGTGAAAAATAAGATAAAATAAAACAGATCATTCCCTGCCAATCAGGGTCTAAACACAGAAAGGGTTCAGTGATCAAACAATCAAGGTGGAAAACTTTAAATTTCCATGCCACACATTAAATGCCAGACGGTGATGACTAAGAGGTAGAGATGATAGGAAGTACATACCAAAGGTTTCACCCACACCTGTTTTGTGGCTTTTACCATAATGCCACTACCACACCTATGAGTTTCGCTTATTAAAACAATAAAGAGGTAGAGTAACTAATACCTTCTCATCAGTGTATAGAGCTAAACACAGTTTTTCAAAGGCTAACCCTGATAGACAAGATCAGGATTCAATCTGAAGAATGTCTGATGATGTTAGTTAATATTTTCTCCCACCTGGTCTACGTGTGTATGCTGATACGTGTAGTTTTGCTCATCTTCAGGTGATCTTTGAGAAATTAATCTTATCTCCTTTATTTCACTTAAAAAATGCTGAAATTAAAACTAAGGTTAAAATGGGGACACCTTAGGATAGATAGGACAGAGGATCCAAACCATACATAGAATCTATTTTTTAAAATCCTCGTAAGTAATTTAAAAGGCAATAGCAATGAGTAAGTTTCAGACAGTTGATATCAAGAACTAAAGTTCCATGTGGAAAATATAACCTATGCAACATCGTGTGTCCATCCAGCAGTGGTAAATGCTCATGTGAGAACTAGAAACATAGCTGTCATTCTGTCAGCTGCCATTTAAGGAGCGCTGACTACGCGCTAAACTCTCCCCCCGTGACATCATCGAATCCGCACATCCATCCGAGGTAGAGACCCTCATCCCCACTTCACAGAAGGGGACACCGCGGGCTCGCAAAGCAGTCGGTTACGGTGACCTGCCCGGGAACCAGCAGCGCCTTTCGGTGCTGGAGCTGAGCCACCGACTCCAACGCCCGACACCGCTCGAGTGGCATTTGAAGAATCCCTCTAAGAGTCCCATTTAATACGAACCTCACTTTTTAGGTGTGACTGTTTTTACCTTCTGAGTCACAGTCAAGACCTGTCTTCCTGTCAGTTGAGGAGAGTGAGCGAGGGCGGGCTGTGAGCGCTGGGGAGAGACAGGTGAGAACAGGTGGAAACTAAGAGGAGTGGCGGAAGCTCAGGACACAGCAGGGCTGCGGGGCCGGGCGTTGACAGGCTCCGGAGAGGAGCGGGCGCGGCCGCACCTGTGCACTACGTCGCCGGCGCGGGCGCCAGGGCGGAGGCGCGCTCCCCTGGGCCACGTGACGGGGCGGGGCCTCGCCGGCGCAGGGCCGCGTGGCC